ATAACCGCTTAATTTCNCGTGGGCTGGTAGAGCAGATTAAACTAAACAGAAAAGTCCTCTACCATTTTACAAAATTTGCAATCGTTAACGAGATATTAATTTTTGAAGATTGGCAAATAAACGCGTATTCGTCCAACCCACCGCTGAATACCAGCGGTGGGACGGCCATACCTCGTCGCGTTGCTAAGTGTATGGGGATAGAGTCTATCCCCACATGCCTAGCAGCGCGGCGAGATACGACTGGCACGACCGCCCTACCTCTGGTATTCAGCGGTGGGCCGGACGGATTCGCGTTTATTCGCCAATCTTCAAAAATTAATATCTCGTTAACGATTGCGAATTTTGCAAAATGGTAAAGGACTTTTCTGTTCAGTTTAATCTGCTCTACCAGCCTACGAGAAATTAGGCGGTTATTATGGGACACCCTGTAGATACATGGGGTGATCTCTCGCATACATGTTTGATGAAAGACACTAATATGTCTCTTGATATTATATAAGATATTTTTTAAATAAACAAAAATTAAATATTAATTTCACATATATTTAACCCATTAACGTCCAAGCAGACACATTTTTTAAACAATTTTCAGTGGCTTAATTTTTTATTTTAATGGCTTTGAAAAAATTCAAGCAACATCATTTTTTATGTAAAATTTCTTGTTCTTTCAGAATCTGCCATTAAAATTTATCAAAAATAAAGTCCAAAAAGTTATAGCCTATTTTTTGGAAAAAAAAAAAAACTAATTTTTCACTCAATTTTTTTTTTTAATCGATATTTTCACATTGAAACGACGTTAGAATGGTCTTGAGCAGTCAAAATATCGCGTCCATGAACTTTAAACTTTAAAACGTATACATACTTATTTCGAAATTTATGATGGCGACATCGAAAATGGCGGCCGAAAGCTCGAAATGTTATGATATTGTGCAAATTCACTAAAAAAATGCAGTAATCATCATAACTCTTGTGTTCTTATCAATATCGTGATATTATATGATCAAAACAACAATAAAATTATTGCAACAATATGGCGGATATAAAATGGCCGATTATAACGTGCTAAAAAACGTCAAGAGATAAATACATAAAAGCGTTATATTTTTTTATTGTTTTATCTCAATCTCAAAGGTTTTTCTGTTTTATTAAACTTTTTTTGTTAATTTTTTAATCAATTTAAAATTTTTTATTTTTTATATTTCAGTTTTGTATTATTTTTTATTTTTCAGTTTTTATTATTTTTTTGGTTGTTTTTTATCAATTTTATAATTTTTTTCCAAATAAAATAATTCTATTTGTCACTTATGGAAAGCATGAAAATAGATGAAGCATTGATAGATATTGCAATCTATACATATTTTTTGATGCATTAGTGATTAGATATTGCTGATTTTTATCTTGCAAAAGCTAGTGTTGGAAAGTTGAGATTCAAACAGCACAAATTTTAAACAGTAAAATTGAAAAGAAACTGTTCAAATTACGCAAAATGTGCTTCGAGAACACAAAAGATGTGTATGGATTATAATATCTATCAATGCTCCACCTGTTTTATGCTTTCCTTAAGTGACAAATAGAATTATTTTATTTGGAAAAAAATTATAAAATTGATAAAAAAGCAACTAAATAATAATAAAAACTGAAAAATAAAAAATAAAAAATTTGAAATTGATTAAAAAATTAATAAAAAAATTTTTAATAAAAATAAAAAACTTTGAAATTGATATAAAACAATAAAAAAATATAACGCTTTTATATATCCATTTTTTGGCGTTTTTTAGAACGTTTATAATCGGCCATTTTGTGTCCGCCATATTGTTGCAATAATTTTATTATTTTGATCTTATAATATCACGATATTGATAAGAACACATCAGTCATGATGATTACTGCATTTTTTTTAGTGAATTTGCACAATATCGTAACATTTATCGGCTGCCATTTTCAATGCCGCCATCATGAATTTAGAAATGAGTATGTATACGTTTTAAAGTTTAGAGTTCGTGGACGCGATATTTTGACTGCTCAAGATCATCCTAATGTCATTTCGATGTGAATATATTAATTTAAAAAAATTTGAGTGAAAAATCACGGTTTTTTTTTTTCAATAAATCGACTATAACTTTTTTGGACTTTATTTTTGGATTTTATTTTGGACAAATTCTGATGGCAGATTCTGAAAGAGTAAGAAATTTTACATCAGAAATGATGTTGTTTTTTTCAAGGCCATTAAAATAAAATATTAAGCTACTAAAAATTGTTCAAAAAATGTGTCCGCTTGGACGTTAATGGGTTAATTTAATATAAACTATTAAAATTATTAAATAATATTAATTGGAACTAGATCGTGTAAGTTAATAGCACAAGTAAATTTGAGAGCGTTTTCTACGGTCATGATTGGATCTTGGTGTCTAATAAATTTTATATAAATTTTTAAATCTATTATTCAGTCCTTTTAATTAACTCTGCGCCGAATTAATGTTGGACTTGCAATGCAATCATTAGCTGAAGCTGGAATAGTAAGATCACAATTGATCTTCAATTCTTAATAATTCGATGCTTATAAGCATCTTAAATCTTAAAATGCTGCGAAGAACTTATTGCGAAAAATATTATCTTTGCTAGGGTTTGAACTTGAGCCCTCCCGACTTTTCAGGGCAGACGTCTTAACTAATTCGACCACCGAGGCATGTGATAATATTTA